TTTATAAGTGTATTGTGCAAAACATTCCGAATCCGAGCATTGCTAGAGATTCGTATCTACGAATCCACAATTTGTGTCCAATACAAAAGATTCGTAGATAAGAATCCACACTTTTAAAAATAATGTTACTTTATAGAAATGGTTTGATATGTTAATATAAAGCGGTGTTATCATCATAATAGGTTTGGGCTGTGGAAAAATGCTTTTGATCCATAAAAATCATGATTGTCAATGTTTTAATTCAGTTGCCATTGCAACAATATTGATCCATGATAAAAGTTGGGGAAAGCCAACCAATTTTATACCGATCGGCGGTTTCGAAGTTATTATGAACAGTTTCGGGGGACCCCCCCCCCCCCCGAATGCTTAGTTGGCGTGCTGTTCCATACATGCTGCAGTTGTTTTTGTTTGTTTTGTTTCGTTTTTATTAATTGTTATCGGGGTGGGTGGAAAGAATGGCATGCAATTGTAGAAGTTAAAACGCTCGAAGCGGTGTTATCATTAAAGTTGCAATTGCATACAAAGTGATACAGAGTGGTGTATAAACCTCTAGTAGTATGAATTTAATTTCGTCGACGAGATTCGATCATTATCTCATATAATGATGTCCAGTGTAAACTAATCGTATTACTCTCATAAAAACAGCTCAAACTAGAAAGCACTCAGAGAGCGCAAACCTCCGTCAAGGCTAAACAACTCCCCGCTATATTGTCAGTCACCCCAAAGTAATACTCACATAAATGGTGAAGAATCCTTTAAAAGAATACTGGATCCAGACCCAGATCCGGATCACTTCCAAAATCTAATCGATTTGTACTTGTACCAAGGACCACCCAAGCCCCCTAGAACAATTTCATGCAAATCCGTCCATACCTTTTTGAGTTCTCTTTTTAAGAGACAAACCAAACAACTAACCAACCAACAAAATCTGATGAAAACATAACCTCCTTTGCGGACGTAATTATAAAGTTAGTCTGGGGATATAACATTAAATGCAGAAGTTATATACGTTCGCTAATCGAAAAATTCGAACCACTTCAGTCTCAAAAAGTTTGCCGAAATTCAAAATGTTCTTTATATACATGTATTTGAAGGTAACGGATAGATTTAAAACCACAGTTCATTTCCACAGAATCGGCAGTATTTGTTTGTCGTGTGGCCACACTTGACACAGAAACTTCTTGTTTGTCACTGACGAGCCTTGGTATGGTTGATTTCATTTACTGAAGAGCGTGTAAGAGGGTATTATGCTTCAGTGTACGATACTATTTCAATTATTCGATATTTCAGTATAGGCCTAGGCCTACATATACAGCTGTTTTGATATTTGAATAGTTAATTTTGTTTTCCTCGTTGATTTGTTTATAAATTATCTGGAAGTTGATTGATAGTATTTCTGCTTTTGATGGGCTGTCGTATGGAACTTTGCACGCCATGAGCTTGCTGTTATCATTGTTGATACTTTATAGCAATAGCTATTTCTTGACTTTCGGAGAAGGATAGACACGAGTATACCTTTCGTGAATTCATTGTTAATAAAATAACAAAGAATATCCTCTGAGACACCGCAACATACAAGGGCTATCGGTTGCTGTCTTTGATTACTCAGAATTTCACATGAAAATAGCCCAAACCTGGACGACTCTTTTTTGGCACTTGATATGACGGTTGGCAGAATCAAACTAATTTGGCCAGATTCAAAAGGTTTAGCAACGGAAGAAAAAGGTCCCCAGCCAAAAAGTGAAGTTGCATAACGAGGGCATCATGATCAGGGTCACATACACTCGCAGGAGGTCAATGTGCACGAAACAGCTTCATATAAACGAAATCACATCTGATCATGATGTAATATGACCGACAGCTGGGACAAGCAAAGCAGACCTACGCACCAACTCAAGAATGTTAACCTTCATATTTAGTTTCATAGAGTACGACACTATAGAGAACCAGCAATATTTTCTTCTTGATTTTGATTTAGCGATAACTCTGTGCATAGCATAAGCGTATACACCGGTGTATAAGTTGTGACTTTATCTAAAGGCACAGTAATATCCGAGCCACACTTGATAGACCTTTATCATGACATATCAAGTAGCCTAAATGGAAGAATTTTAGGAACATTACATTGTGGAATGCGCCCAATTGGTATTAAAAAAAACACGTTTAAACGAAATGATGTTAAATGGAAAGAGCACTTAAAAGTAGGATATAAACGTCCACACAACCATCCTTTAAAAACTGGGCGTTTTGTGTTATTCTTGTGAGAACGAGTTTAAAAAGTCAACATTTTGGCTCTCAAAAATCGAGCTGTTGATGGGTGCTAGTCGTGATTCCTGCCGCACATGTTACACCATGGAGGAATAAGAACATCCTCCATGGTTACACCACATGCATCGCATTCTACGGATATGCGAGAATCAAGAGTTTTGTGTCACACAACACGTACCGTACATTGAGTGGACACGCTGGAAATACGTATGCGTAGCCTATATGCCACAAAATGTCTGCCGCGTCTGAAGAAAAGTAAACAACCGTGATTTTTCGTCTTTTCTCAGGAACAGTGCGACATTGGGTTAGTTTCCTTTCAACCAGACCTTTGAAATAGGATAAGAAAACAATGCAAAACATAACATTTTCGGGGATTTCAGGCTGTAATGTGCCTTTAAGTGAAACGTTAATGTTTTCGCTGGCAATTATTCTTCGGTAACTTTGGCCGACATAAATTGTCTCTTCCTCGGCGGTTGTGATTCAACTAATTTACCATAGGCCCATACCATTACAGTGCACAGGGGGTTTTTAGTAAATCTATTGTGTTGCCTATTGAAAGCGTACTTTTCACCGACTGCGACGGTCAACAAACTTTGCAACCGGACTCAATATTTTAAAGGCCCCCCCCCCCAAGAAAACCAACCCAAAAATACAGACGCTTTTAGTGCAGACAGAAACTTAATCAGGTAAAACGCGGATGAAGTGTCTCGTTTAAATGGCGCGGTGAACAAGCAACATCTCACAGCTATAAAATTATTTGGGGAAAAATAATGTGAAGATGTTGGTATGTTGGGTTACAATCTAAAAGCACTGGGATAAATGATTGGGGGACATCACCATTGGCGTCCCCTGCCCAAAAATGATCGGGGGACATGCCCTCCCCCCCCCCAGATCGCCGCCCATGACTAACAGACTTCAGGCACTTTTTTCTGAGCTTGATTTTTTGGGCACATTGCTCAATGTGGTTGGATTAAGCTCCATGGGTTAACCACGACAGCCCGTATGACTGTTTACCGTAGGCACGTGGGTTTTTTTTTCCCAGCATGCCCGGCAGATGAGCAGAAAATACAAATGTACTAATCATAAAGTATGTTAAAATATTGGGTTTCATACAAAATTACAATAGCTTCACATTTACAAAAGCCTCTTTTCAAACGGCATTCGGGACCTACATTCACAAATTGTGTCGCCATAGTGGTTATTGCAATTGTGTTTTTTTTAACAAACTCAAAACAACTTTCCAATCTATATATGTGTTTTGTTTAAATAATTATTATTATTATAGGCCCTATATAGATTGTACTCTTTAATGTTAAAACGATATACATGTAGAAGATTTAGAATCAGAGCTTTCTCGCCAAATAACAAGTGACAATAAAATGATGCAAGTATAGGGCCTACAATGTGTTCGTTATACCATGGAGAAATGAAACATATTACTGGTCATCATTTTCTGTCAGACGGCCAGACACAGCACTACGTACTTTAGGGCATCGTGTCCTATTACCGTTGAATTGAGGTCCAAAGAATGACCCTGCTGGCTGCAGGAGACAGCACAGTCTCCCGTCAAGATGACAAACCATTCCAGTTCTAGATGCAGGGGCGGGGGTACGGGTACGAGCGAATTCCAGTTCACCCCTGTGCGTGGATGTGTCCTTTCACTGTGACCGTATAGAAACAACGAGTTAACGACTCGATGAAGGCGGGATGATCAACGAAGCAAAATATTCGCATGTTTGAGGGAAATTTTGTGACAACACACAAATTAAAGAAATGAACTGGTCACTTCATGGTATACCTAAATATAGGTGTTCACTTTTTTTAAGTAACTTAAGTAAGCATACATTACATCAAACAGTTTGTCATGCACTACTTCTTGAAATATACTGTATGGATACCGTTTTGCAGTATTTTAGAATCAGATTTTTCAATGTATCATTTTCCAACATTCTTTTATTAAACCTTACACGCCACTATGTTTTATTGAATATCATGTCACAAAACAAGGTGTACTCATCGACCAACTAAATTGTACCATTTAAATGATGTGACCCTCATGCGGCCTGATACATCAAACCATAAAACACTTTCATTTTGGTCAAAATTCGTTTGCAAGCAAGTTGTTGCCGGTTTCTGTATGCACACCAGTCAGGATTAAGCACGGGGCTAGGATTCAAGTACAGTTGAATTTCAATAAAATTGGTCTCTGAACGAGATAAGAAAATTTAAAAGTGCAGGATGTTCGTGCCAATCTATTTTACATGCTCTTGAAAAGAGAGCCTGATGGATGGGTATATATTGAATGCTGTTACCCGGTAAATTCTGTTCTCCACGGTCTGTTGACCTGTATTTTTATTCATCCATGGTATCATGTGTGATACATAAAAATCATGAGACTGAAACAGACATTGTGGAGCCCCGTGTGTACAGTGATCAACAAGTAAATTCGACATCAAACAAATTTGAATGCCACTGTATTATATACATGGCTAAACTTTAGTCCCAAAAAAATGACGAAATTGCACTGGTATTTGAATGGTGGGTTCACTAGAACTATTGGAACAGCACCAGCAAGGACGAAGCGTTTTGGTCCATTGGGTGCTTTCACTTCAATTTGAATACGCTTTGTGTGTGAACAAACCTTTTGTACCTGGTCCCTGGGCCGGGTGTGTGCGTTGTAAACCTACGTCTACATGTACATTGTACATGTACATGTACATTGTACATCTACAGTACATGCATTGTGTGCAATGCACGGGCTCGTTGGGTTGTGGAAGCTGCGAAGCCACTCCTCCGCCTACGTGCATTTACCTACATGTACCATGAATATTTTGTGGGCTGCATACTCAATGTGTGAGACAGCTTCACAGCTCTAGCCCTGTCAGGGTAATAGTCGTCGTTGAACTGGTCCTTGATATGTAACTTTGTCGTGAGCGCTGCAACTTCATTGGCACGCTTAAACTTTTTCCCCGTTCTGACTATTCTTGGAGAACCATAAATCGGAGCAAATCTAAACCGACAAAAAAGGTGGGAAAGATGGGCAACCAAGAGAGTGCTTCTGCCGGTATTCACGTTGAAGGTTCGGTGTCAGCATCGGGGGCCGTCGACGCTGGGGCAACCGCGGAGGGCAAAGGCAACGGTCCGCCATCCCCGAAAAAAAGGCGTCTGAGTTTCAAGTCGCTCCGGAATGGATCATTCCGCCGGTCGTTCAGGATTCGCCGGAGTGGACGAAGAAAAGCGGTCAAAGGCAAGGGCGAGGAGAGAATCGAAATGGAAGGGGATGTTTCAGACGAGCAAGGGGCAGCGGCTCGGGCTGCTGCCAAACTGAAGGCATCAGGCAAAGGGAAACCGGGTGAGTTTATTCGAAATGTTCATTTACTTTATAAACTAAAGTGTACATATTAAAACTACACAGTTTGAATAGAAAACACGTTACCAATTATGGTATTGTAAAGATCTGTCGGAAATGTTTTATGTTTTTGAAATGGGCACTCTAAAAATATATATTGTAAATATCAACGCTCTGTGAACAATGTTGCGCCACATTACACCGGGGAAATTTCAGACACACCCCGTTGACTTTAGGTTAGGTATGTGATCACGCAGAAAAATCGGGGCCTTACATGCCTTAGCAAAGGGGTTGGACGTGGAATGTATTAATAAGACATGAGTGTATATGTACATGATGTGCTTGCCTAACTTCATTTGACGACGTTTGTATAATGTTGTCCATATAGTTCGCTGTAAAATTCACATGAAAACATTTTATTTACAACTTCAATTGTGATGTATGGAAGTTGAAGCTCTGAATACCAGCACATAGGAAGGACCGTGCTCTATGGTTTAATGGTATACCAGCGAAGCGCATTCCATGCATAATTGACATTGTGGTGAAATAGCCGCAGTGCTGTGGCTTGTTACTTGTAAGACTTAAAGAAAGGAAGCATGTTTATCATTATAAATTTTGCAAAATATAAATACTCATAGCAGTTTGAGTTGTCATTTACTTGAATGATTTGCACCAGAGAAGCAAAATAAATAATCGGGTTAACGGATTTAAAACCAAAATGTTAATTGTTTTTTGTTTTATTTGTGCAATCTTGGATATCAAACTCTGTTGAATTGAAATGTTGTTATCTGTTGAGTGTTGGGCAAATGCCACTTTGTCGCGACGTGGACTACATCTCCTCATGAAGCACACGGCAACATTTGTTTTTCGTCACCGTTCTTTACATATCCGAAATAAAGAGGGATCCTTGAAAGGTTTCTTGATTTTTATTTCATCCATGTTGTAAGTTGAAATATTTACGTGAAGAGCTGAAATACGTTTTGTGCAACACAGCATTGGCGATACTTTCGCGCCATTTACTTTGCAGCCTTCAGTAGGGGCGCAATCGACGACACAAGCGCCGCTTTTGTTGAACAAAAATCAATAAATAGATCAGTATCACGACGTGGTCTTGGTGGAATCATGGAGGAAAGTACCTATACATGTACTACTAGTAAGAGGCACATAGGCCTTCGAACATGTTTAGCTTTGCACAATACTTGAATTATGACATCACGGCGAAAGTTTGATGTCGACTTGTTTGCAAGTCTTTACTTCAACAAAGATAAGTTACCCTTAGAGAAACATGATACGCAAACACACCGAACCCAAACAAACTATACATGTCCGTCGCGTCGGGATTGCTCCATTTCTTTTTTTAGGTCATAAGGTTTATCTTAATACGCACGCAATCGATATGTAAGTCTACTGTTCAGGAAAACACACTCCACTTCGAGTTCCTAAGGGCTGGATACCCAGTTCGTTGAACTGTTATGACACTTTTTTCTTTATGAATGGATACTGACTGTTCATTGACTGATACTGACGGCTTAAAATAATTAATTGATATAAGTTACTGTCAAGATTAACCGACAAAAGTTTACCTTCCTATAGTACTAGTGAACTCGCCCACCTCAAGGGTACACCAATGCGTGTAATGATACGGTGCATGCGGTGTACTTAATCCAACCCATAGATATGGGCCATCATGTTGTGTTTGGAAATAAAAATAAACGTCTGGGGACTCGTTACCTACAGCGTCATGTGCTTGTCGTGTCTTTTGTGTCTACTAAGCGAAATAATTATTTCGCTTACAATGAGACTGCGTACAATTTATTCAGAAACAATAAAACCATAATGATAAAAAGACATCTGGTTCTCTTTTTATTATACAGTTGTGTCATATTGTATTTTTAGGAACTGTACGATTTCTCAGCAAGAACAATATATAAAAACCTTGTCGTCTGGCAAGGCCATGTTTAATTTGTTTAACTTGTTAAGTTGTTATAGAAAACATTCCTGTGATAATTATTATTACAGGTTTCTCAAAAGAAATTTCATTTGGAATTTCAACAATAATAAATTCGTTATTAATTAATTTGGATTTAACTGCGATTAAACCCGCCCGAAATTCGAAACTCTACTTATAGCCTACATGACTTGTGTAAGTTTTGTGGTTAGACTTATGAGGATAATGATCGCCACTTGACTTTTTCAATTTAAAGGGTGATCTTGCTGGGGGAAAAAAGCATCCGTGCTTACCGTTTGGAATGTTTAATTGAAATAAATGGTAAGAGGACCTTTGTGGTTGTGGGCGTGTCTAGGTTGCTGTCTTTTCTGAGTTGCGGTAGGTCAGCGCCGTTTATTTCCAGACCAGTATAGATATAGAAACATCAGAGAATGTCATGCATTGGACCGTCGTTACCGACGTTGTCCAATTGTGTTATGTCCTTCACATTCTTTTCAAGGTGATGTGCAGTTTTCACGAAAACCCGGGAGACGTAGACTTGCTAATCGGTCTCTACTACGATACTAGATTCAAGGAAAAATAATAATAATAATAAATAAATAAATAAAATTAAAAAAATAAAAATTTGAAACGAAACAAATTTGAGTGGGGCTATCAATAGCGTGATAATACCGTGACAGGATTTTCAAGAACTTGAAATAGAATTTAAAACAAAACAAATTTGAGGGGCTACCATTTTGAATGGGGCTGTCAAAAGCATGATAATACCGTTGTCACATGAAAATCCGACTCCTATAAAAATCGGACTCTATTGAAGTGGCAATGAAGCTGTTCTTTGTAAATTTGGGTTCGCAAGGTACTAGGGTCATGATTGTTTGATTCGTCGTCTGGCTCCTCGATGCATAACATAATACATTCTTGTTTAATATTAAAATAGTGATGTCCTTGGTACATTGAACCATTGAACACGAATTGTGCTTTCAGTTGAACAGTTCTGGTGCACATGTGCTGATGCATAAAATAATAATGTCCTTAAACATACAACACATGTGAATGTCATGTGTATAAATCTATAAAATTTTCGACAATGATTGGATCGTCAGTGTGTTTTTTTAAATTAATGTGTAAAGTTTTAATTGAAATCTGGAGAGCAAACAAATTTGATGTGCAAAAGTGGCTAAGATGGAACTCCTATAGTTAAGATGCACGACTTGACAAGAGGTTCGTTTTGTAAGTTTTTTTGCAGACTGCAAGGCACAGTAGAACATTTTCGATTTGGTACTTGTCAGTGGGTTCAATCACAATATTGAATTATATTTTTCAACTTGAGGTATCACTTTCACCTACTTAAATTGTGTACATTGTTACTATACATGTATTGGTGCGCGCTTGGATTTAATCGTTATTGCCCCCAACCGCCGGGCGCCGTCTGTTATCCTCATACCAGCACGTCCAGATTTGTTGAAAGTTTACCCATTCCATCCCAAATACACACGTGATTTGAAAGGCCTGGGACATGTTCACAGCACGTTGGACCATAAATCAGACGCAAACAAGTTATACAAACATTGCATCGCTTTGAAGGAATACGTTTGTTTGTGTTAGGCGAACGTTAGCGAATGTGGACATGCACTCACTCATGTACAAGTTTGCCCTATTCACTTCGTGCAAATAATGAATGTTCAAAGAACCATGACCCTATGGAAAAAAATTAGAAGAGCTTAATACATAACAACACAACAACATACATAAGAGCACCAACTTTCCTAGAACAACATTCACTCATTATTGTATACGTTTTTATACTAGGTGTCACACAACGATTGTTGTCATGTATCCAGAACCTTTTGTATAAATTGTAAGAAGCTTAGTGACATGATGATGTGGTTAATCATTTACATTTATCCCAACCTAATTATTATCTGAAAGTTTACTTGGCTTGAACTATATCTGCAGATCTTTATGTATCTTTAGGCTACAGTATGATAAAAGTGAGATAAGATATTACGCCATTTTATTGCACGTTTTGTACAAAGAGACTTCAATGGCGGATCCAAGGGGTTGGATAGGGTGGCTGACCACCCCCTCCGACTGACAAATGTTAATTATTTGTAAAATAAAATATAAAAATCCCAAATTTCCTTAACTGTCATTGCAAATCTTGTATCATAGGGCTTTGGTCCCATGCGTTGAACCTCTCAGCAACCCCTCCCCTCCGCCCCCCACCTCTTGCACTTCAACAACCCCCACCCTTGGGAAACCCCTTCCTCCTTGATCCACCACGAGATTTTGCATGAAAGAAAAAGGTGACAGAAATTCAGCCAAAATTTAAAAATTAGTCTCAGTATCACCCATTCGTCAGAATGCGATCGATCTGGTTTGTGTATATTATGCAACCCCCACGACGGCCATTCGAGACGACTGCATATAGTGACCCCAATTTATGAAAAACGACACGGCTGTAGATTGGTAAATAACTGTGAGTTGTACCCGATGAAGACATTCCCTGATTGGTGATCAAATAAATGGATGTGGATATAAATAGCAGTAGATGAATCTCCACGAAATACAAAATCAAAGACGATTCAAAACTTGAATCTTTTATTGCGGCAGACACTTAAGTTCAAGGGCCACCAAAACTCCCTATAGGTTTGGAGAGAATTTGACGGTAAATCGTTCTTTGGTATAGGCGAACGAAACTTCGGGCGTATTGCATGTAATCTCGGGAACATCAACAATGGACCCTTCTGTCCTGTCAATCAATTAGATCACGACGTTTGGTCATGTAACTTTACAAAAGTTGCTATCGGCGTCTTCCGCCATTAGCTCGGTCAAACTCGGTAGGCCTTCGAACCAATGGGTTACGTGGGAGTCGCGAACATTCTTTTCATTATTTTAACGAAAAAGAAAAGGATTTCATACATATTATGTTTAGTTTCGGGGTTTTTTTCGAGGGGGGAACACCTGTAACACTCTGAAAAGGCTTTTATTTAGGGCTGCTTTGCAAAATGGTAAGGCCTCAAATCTTACTTAAAATGGCAGGAAACAGTCCATC